TTTCGGTTTAGGAGAAGAGAACAAATTTTAAATTAAATTTAAATAACAAAAAGGCAATGATCAATATTTGACAGTACTAATAAAAAAAAGATCAACTAAGTCTAGGGAATTGGTATTGTATTGTCCTTATTTAATTTTTAATGAAACAAATAAGTTATTAATATACAGAGAATATGGATTGACTTAAGATATTCTCTCAGATGATTGGATTTATTATTAAAACTTTAGTAAAACATACTAAAAGAATAAATAAAAGAAAGAAATAGAATAACATTCTTAATATCATAATTTACATTAATTTGCTACAAGCACTAATATGAATAAAATATAAGTTGCCATTGGATAATTAAATGATTAATAATAATCAGTATCAGAAATTTCTAAATGGAGTAATCCTGTTAGCTTATAAAATAGCAATGTTATAGAAATAATAGGATCAACTGAAATTTTAAAAAAAGATCATGAGCAATTATAATCAAAAGATCGTAAAAAGAGAACAAGTGCAGATGCTAAAGGGAAATTTGAATTTGGTATGGCAATTACAAGTGGACCTGGGTCATTTCATAGAAGCAAATTAATAACAATTACACCAAGATTTATAGTGCATAATGAAACATAATATAACATAGCTATGGTTTAAGTAGATACCGAGTATAGAGATAATAATCTGTTGAGATTGAAACCAGGGGATTGGAAATATTTTAGTTGGTCAAATATAAAAAAACCTGCTCTTGCAATGATATCTTTTTATTAAGAATCAACAGGTCTAATATCAGGTTGGAGTGGATACTTTAAACTATAAGTTTAAGAAATCTCATTAAAAATTCCTAGTATAAAATCTATTTCGAATAATAATAATTTTGATTTTTCATAACTTTATGTACTTTAGAAGGTTAATATTACTTTAATGGATGATTTAATCCTATTAATAAGATTCATTTCAGAAGATCCAATAATTCCACCCTATTATATTGAAAATTTAACTAAATATGAAATCACATACAAACAATAACCATCTAGTTAAGCCTAAAGATACAAATTGAATTAAGCTAATCCAATGTTATAAAATAATGAAATAAATAGAGGCATACATTAAGTTATAGCATCCAATCCTGTTGGCTCTTAAGATTATGAATTAATTTAATTTTCTGCTGGAGGAAATGAGGTTACTTATTTATAACCAGGAGAAAAGGTAGCATTTACTTGGGATCATTGGATTGATGATAAAGAACATGTTTTAGAAGTTGAAATAGAGGGTTAAACAGAAAAATATGAAATAGATAAGATTCAAAATTTTTAACCACTCACTTTACCTGGATAATCATAAAAGAGAAAAAAAATCGTAAATAAGAAATATCTTTATAAATAAGGAAATATTTTTATAAAAGATTTGGATAAACCAAAAGAATATTATTGTACTCTCAATGTTTTGAAATAAAAATTTAATGTTTATTCTTCAGATAAGAAATAACATGAATCTTATTATTTATAAGGTGCAAAAGTAGATGAAAGTAAAGATAATGAATTTGTATTAAAAATTAACCCAGAAAAAATGTTATCCAAAAATTTGCATTTTCAAACCAAAACCGTTGATGAAGCAAATTAATGGGTAGAATATTTATGGAGAGCTATTTTAATTGATAAACCTGAAATGGTTGAATTAAAAATTGAGCCATCTAATTAAACTAAAGTAGTTACATTTTTTTAAAATTAATCAAATGATAGAGCTGATACTCAAAAAGAAGGATCAGAGATTTAACAAGAAAAAGAAGATGACACATAAAATTAATAATTTACTTGTTATAAGATATCAATTAGTAATTGTGTAGGTATATCTATAATTGATGAAACACCAAAGGAAATATTATAAATTTGCTTTAAAAATATATAAGCAGAATATATTTTGATAGAAGAAATATAAAAAGATCTTTAATTAAGATAAAATTAAGATGAAGATGATAATACAAATTTATTAGCAGAAAAACCATAAATTAAATAAATAAAGGAGCATATAAATTTATCAATAGATTTAATTATCATTAATAATTAAATAATAAACTCTTAATTTCCTGTTTTATTGGCCCCTAATAAAAAAAAAATATTTGGTAATCAATAACCCTTTTTTGTTTTGACTACATACAGAAAGGATTAATAATAGATAAAAAAGCCAAATACTAGTTTGAATAATGGAAGTAGAGTTGTTGTTAAGAATGAATCAAATACTTAAGCAAATTAAATTCAAGCTAATGATCAATAATAAAACTAATCTAAATTTAAGATATCTTATATACATACACTTCAAATGTTTACAGATACATTAGAAATCAGACTGGATCATTAAATTTTAGATTAAATAATTTAGTATTATAATTTAATAGCAGCAATTATATGGGATAGTAATTTTAGTGATGTTTAATAATAAAGCAATAGCTAATTTGGATTAGGATCTTTATAAAAGAAATAAGAAGAATAATTAAAGAAAATAAAATTACATAGTATCAGTAAGATTTATCTAAAAAATTTAATGTTAGAACCAATTGACATTTGTTTTACTTTAAAGTAGATATTTTATAAAATTATTTAGATCCTCTCCTGGTCATGTTATGAATTCATCTTCTATAGGAGTTATAGCTGATTTGGGATTAACATTAGCTTCAATTGATAGTGCAAAAATTAGGTTAAATGCTTTTAAGACTTAACATATATTTGGATCAAGTAATGAAATTATTGGTAGAATATCTAAGCATTACAAAGGGTAAATATATAAAATTATATTATTAGATAATTTTTAACATAAATTTATAAACTGTTAGGATCTTTTGAAATATTTGGAAATCCAGTTTCTCTAATTTCTAATTTAGGAACAGGTGTAATAGATATGTTTTATGAACCTATTTATGCTCTAGTTACAGGAAAAAGTGGATACAAAGTCGGTGAAAAATTCTTTACAGGTGCAGTTACTTTGATACACACTTCAATAACAGGTGTGTATAAAACAGTTAACACAATAATTGGAACAATAATGAAAATACTTGATTAAATAACTTTAGATAAGAAATATATGTCAGAGAGAAGCAATAGATTGAATAGAGCAATCAAAAATTTTAGAGAAGGATTAATTATTGGTTTTACTAATTTTGGAAAGATTTTATTTTAAACAATAATTGGAGTTTTAGAAAGACCAATTACTGGAATAAATGATGGTGGATTTTTGGGTTTTTTATTAGGAATTTATTAAGGAATTATGGGAATTATAATTAAACCTACAGTAGGAATCTATGATCTTTTGATAACAATAATTGAAGGAATAAAAAATACAGCAATATATGAAGAACATATTATGGATACAAGATATAGACCGCCTAGAATTTTTGGAGATAACAATTAATTAATACCTTTCAATTTTAAACATGCCATAGGTACTGATATTATTAGGAGATACAAATTAAAAGTTATAGATGGCGAAAGTATTATCTTCTTTGATTAACTTAATATATCAGATGGGCATAAGAAAAAGCAAGAAGCTTAAATTGTATTGACTGATTCAAGAATTGTTTATGTATTGGTAATATTTATTATTATTCTTTTAGTCTCATTCATCTATACATTGTGATAAAATCATGATTTATAAAATTAAATCAATGGAATATAAAGATTAATAGAAATTACTTGAGTTTAAACTTCATACACCTGTTAGAAAATCTTGGTTTTAGACTAACTCAAAGAGTTATTCATTAAAATATGAAAGTAAAATTAAAGCAATCAAATTGGCTGAATAGATATAGAAATCATTTAAAGATAAATACAATATTAAATTAAGAGGCTTAAAAGAAATTACAAATGATAAAAAATGATAAAACTTCATATATTTTGTAAAATAAATCAATTTAATTTACTATGTATAATTTGCATTAACTTTTTTGACAAATTTTATGATTCGATTTAATTAAAATAATTATGATTCAAAGCATCCTTTATACTAATTCTTTTATTAGGATCATATTATAACATTTTGGATAATAAATCAATTCCATCATTACTCATTTTTGGTAATAATTTAAATAAATTCATGGAGTCCCTTTTCTCAAATTGAACAACTTAAGGCAAATTTTAAAAACCTGGCCAATTTTTTTCAGTAGGATTCCCAAGTATATTTACCATTTTAGATAATATTTTAATCTCACTCTCCCCTGAGAATAAAGGTTATTTAAGATAAAACTCTGCAAATACACAACCTATTGCCCATACATCTAAAGCAGGACCATATTTTTAAGCATTGAAAAAAAGTTCAGGTGATCTATATTGCATAGTACATGTTTATGTTGTCATAGGCTTATCTTCCCATAATCTTGCTAAACCAAAATCTGTTATTTTTAAAATGCCATCCTTTGTTACTAAAACATTTTCAGGTTTAAAATCTCGATGAAGAATCATTTTTTAATGAAGCTCTTCAAATCCCTATAATATTTAGAGAAGCATTAGTTTGATATCACTCTCTTGAATTGATTCATTAGACTCCCTGAAAACTGATAATATCTCAAACAGAGAAACCATATGATCATAAACAAAGCAAATTGAGCCAAAAGTATCATCATTCCTTTTTTTTGATGTTTTCATAAACACATGCTTAGGTATATTCAAATTTTAGTGAATCATAGTATTCATAAATCTTACCTCACGCAAACTATCTATGTCTAATCCCACTCTCTTTTTTAAAGGCTTGAATTTTTTTATTACTACAAATTATGGATGAGTTTCTATTTCTACTAATGAAGGAATCCATTAAAATATTCTTTTATTATGTATAGGTTTTTCACATTTACACAGATAAATCTTACCATAAGCTCCTCCAGGTAATTTTTTTACTTTAGTATAATGTTCATGGTCTATGCTTTGCATTATATTTAATTTTATAATAAGTATTATATTTATTTACTACTTAATTAGGATCATAAAATTTTGATATTGAAATTGATTTAATATATCTATTTATAATTCTATCAATTATACAGTTGCTTATTTAAATCAGTCAGAGGAACATATCTAACTCCCAGAACATTTTAGATATTGATTTTCCCATTTTAATCCTTATCAATTACTTAAAAAACTTAGTTTCCTTTACCAACAGGTATTACCATGCGACCTCCTTTGTCCAATTATTCTAATAGTTTTTATGGTATTATTTCAGCTGCAGCACCAACATGAATGGCTTAATATGGACCTTCTTACTCAAACCCTAAACGTCCATCTTCTTTAATAATTTATATTTGCTTATCTTTTAACTGTTTATTGTAAGACCTATCTAAATTATTTATATTATTACAAACTTAAATTTTTTATATATTTTTCAACCAATTCTGGAACATGTTCCACTCAAATTACTTTTGATTATTATTATTTCATCATCAGAAACATTGCAGCACATAAATATCCACTACCAGAACCAATATCAAGAGCTCTTACTCCATTCTATAAATGATCTTTAAGTAATTCCTAATTACATAATAATATACTAAAGAATAAGCATGCATATGAGGAACTGATATAATTGCATTAAAGCCAATTTATAATGGATAATCTTCATAAGCATTAATTTTATCAAACTCATCAACAAATTATTTACGATCCACAGATAATAAAACTTATTTCACAATCTCTGATTTAATAACACCTTCTTTAAACAAATTTTACACTAATTTTTCTAGTTTATTATTCTTTTAATTTATGGACATTGAATTTTAGATAAAGGAAAATAAGGTAGCTATACTTATCATTGGAATGGCAGGAACAGGCAAAACTACTTTTGTTTAGGTTAGGAATCAATCAATATTATTTAGCAATTAAGCAAACAATTAAAAAATGAAAAGCATACTTTAATTAATCTTGATCCTGCTGTTTATTCATTGCCTTATGAACCTGAAGAAGATATTCGTAAATCAATTAACTACAAAGAGTTAATGACTAAGTATTACTCTTTATCATAGAATCTAGAAATAAACTAGGTCCTAATGGAGCAATCATGACTGCACTTAATCTTTACTCCCTTTAATTAAACTAATTAATAGAAAAAATAGAAAAATCAGATACCACTATATAAATTATTGATACTCCAGGATAAATCGAAGTTTTTACTTGGTCTGCATCTGGCAATTTAATATCTTAAACATTATCTATGTCTATGCCAACAATAATATTTTATGTTATTGACATTGCAAGATGTTAAAACCCTAATAGTTTTATGAGCAATCTATTATTTAGTTGTAGTATATTCTACAAATTTAAATTACCTATGGTTATAGTTTTTAATAAATGTGATGTTGCTGATTCAAAAAAGCCCTTAGAATGGTTGAGGGATTATGATTCATTTACAGAAGCTTTAAAAAAGAAAGATACTTATTTATCTACTTTGAGCAAATAAATGGTATTGACATTAGAGGAATTTTATAACAACTTTACAGTATTAGAGGTTTCTTCATTAACTGGATAAGGATTTGAAAATATTAATGATGTTATTGCAACTGCTAAGTAAGAATATATGAACATTACTCTTGTTGATATATAAAAGAAAATGAATGATTAGAAACAAAAAAATTATGATAAATAAATCAATCAAATATCTTAAAAAATTTAGGATTTGTGAATTATAAATAATCATTTTTTACGATAAACTCTTTCCTTTTCTTTTAAATCTAATATATGTATATCTTATTCTTTTAATCTTTATTCCATCTAATATCTCAATCTTTTATCTATTTCTTACTCTAATAAATATATAAATTATATACATTTTTTTAAATCCATTA